GTGTTGACTAAGTACTGGATGATAACTCGGGTCCAGTACCGGACAAACAATAGCCCAGTTATTTTAACCAAGCATTCGCCAGTAATGGCTCAGTACTGGCTGACAGAACTTTGGCCATCCTCCAACAGCCAGTTATTTGCCTGCAGTGAAGTCCAATACTGGTCGACAGAACCGTCAATTGACAGGGGTAGCATTGGTTTCGTTGTAATTGCTAGTGACCCTATATGGGTATCTAAATTTATTGTTTAGACCTTGCGATACCAATTGGATGAATTTCGCTATGCAGATATCTGTACACGGATATGAGAGACTCGTTTAACACACTTTTGCGCACTGCGATTTACTTATAGTACAACCGACGAGGCGTAGGAGAGATGCGCGATCTATCGTCGATCTCTACGTGTAATAATTGTGCGAATACTGGCTTTGTGTCCCATTAAGTCTCTCATGTAGACACATACAGAGAGACATCTCTAAATATACAGAGTGTCGCGCCCACCCTCGGAAGTTTCGCGCGGAAACCGCTAATACCAGGTGTTTACGCGGAAATCACGGCTTGTCTACGCGTACTGTATCCAAATCATACACACGTTGACACGATACAGATAGACATAGAGTAGAATATGAAGTGACGCAACAGGAAAATGAGAAATAAAGATGATTATTGTCTTATCCATCTATACTATTCGTTTACGATCCGTACAATTATTCTGTAGATTATTATATAATCTGATTGTATAAACGCATAGGCTAAATAGATAGGACGATGATCATCTTTATTTCTCACATTTTTCTATTAAATAAGGTTTATTATTATTAATATATGAGACACACAATCGGTATAGAATGAAAATTGAATTTCTTTAGAGTGTTGCTAATATCACGTGATAATACTACATAGTTATTTTTATTGTTTTCATTTATTTTTAGATTACGATTGATTTGGATACTTTACGCGCATCAATTAATCATTCCCGATTCTATACATCCGAAGTAAGAGGTGGAGAACTCGATGACATTACAAGTCGAGAGATTACAATGTGCATTTGTTTAATTTTATCCAATTTTACCAATGTTGAATTTCTAGGCTAGAAAAACGATAATCGGCATTACCGAGGTGTATTACTGCTATAGTGAAAAAATAGTTTCCTCACAAAAGTTAAAGAAAAATGGATCCGTGTGAAAGTATTTCGATTATTCGAATAAAAAATAGTTCTCGCTCGCTTTTCATCCCTTCGGAATTTAAAGAAATCTGTCTAGACGATACTCTAATCTCGCATGTGAATTGTGATGTAATATAAATTCATTACAGCTTATTGGGGATCTTAAGTTGTATTAAGACTAATATGCACTCTCAATAAGGATTATCCTTATTATTCTCTATATCTTTACGGTAATATTTTTCAAGTCGACAATTATAAACGAAACACAATCACCATGCATGAACGACATTTATATATCTGCATTTACGACAATTAATCTTTTAGGTGAGGACGTGTTGCGTTCCTCTTGCGCTTCATAGAACCAGGAAGGCTTGTTGTACCCAGCGATAGATTCACTTTTCACTGTCTATAAAGACGAATATCGGATGTCAGTTCAACGAAATTGCGACCTGATGGAATCTCATAGATTATAATTTTGTTTATAAAAAGAAGTGACTTATTCTGTACATATTCCTGGGTACAACATGTAGTCTTACGAAAGCGCGAGATACTTGCCGATGTCGCGGGCGGATATTATCGAATCCGCCGATCAGATTCTCGTTTCTTACGCACGCGCTATACTATCGGTTGCACAAAGTAAAAGGAAGATACGATGATGAACGTGGAAGAATGGGGGTGATTGGGCACGTCGCGAACCATTCGTCAGAGGCCGAAATTTTATCCTCCGGAATGATTTCCCAAATTCGAAATTGGAGGCACAACGCATCATTTGCCTTCGATCACGCACCCCACACTCTTCGTTATCCACCAGACGCGAAACCAGAAGTGTACTTTCGTCGAATTTTGCTGTCGACGCCGGCAAACGCGCTGTGTTGTCTCTCGCTTGGGAGTAGCGTCTTCTGTCGAGTTTCAAAAAATAAAATTGTCCGCACTGGTTTCTTTTTTTTCCTTTGCTTTTTTTCGCTTTTTTTTTTCTTTTTTTTCCATTTTGTTCGCACGTTATACATATTCGTCGTCTCCTCGTTTCATCCGCGAGGTCGACGACACCGCAGCTCTTCGACGGATAGGTCGACGGATAGATTTCCAGGCGCGGCGTCGCCGATCTCTTATGAGCAATATACGTGGGGGAGCCCCGTGCCGCATCGCCGGGAATCCTTCCCTGAGCGAACATCGACCCGGAGCAGCGGAAATAGGAAATACGTTGAACGTGGTATGCGTGCGACGCGATCGCTTCGCCGATACTTCGTATCGCAAGTTTGCAATCGCTCACGGCGCGCACCCGCGTTTACGTCAATCTTCATCCGGGTTCCGGATCATTTTCCGGAGAAAACTGCGCGGAATTTATCTCTCCTTTATTCTCACCTACTATTTCTTTTTAAATTTATTACAAAAGCTTCGAGTCTTCAAAAATGTAAAGCTATCGTGGTGTAAAGAGTCCCGCTCTCTGTGTCAAAACATTCAAAATCCACCCAGAATACATCAATCAGATGATTTTATTTGACGATTATCTTTCTAAAAACAATGACAAGCCATCCAAAACATCTTTTAATAAAAAAAAATCTGCGACGTTATGATGAATCCGTAATTATTTAAATTAATTTAGATAATGTTTTAATTTTCGATTTGTTTTTCATTATATTTAGCATTGCAAATTTTTGCTACATTAAATTTAAAATATAACATATTGACTATGTTAACTATTTGGTAAGTAAATTTACCATTGGCATATATATTCTCGGTTAGATTTTCGAGAAGCGACAATCAAATAAGATCATTCGATGTGTTTCAGTGAAATTTGAATCCCTTGATCTTTGATCAAAGAGCAGGCATACAAAGTCTTTACGCCACGATCGTTACATTTGTACTTTCGAAGACTTGATACTTTTTAAACGAATTTGGAGAAAAATTCATTACCGATAATTTACGTTAGATAAATGTATCGATAAGCGTTGATTCATTTTCTTCGCAAAAAGAATGGCTGCCCGGATGAGGATTGAGCCTAGCGATACCAAGACACTGATGGTTTAATATTATCAATGGTAGAAGAGAAGAGGAGATACTTCTCTAAAATCCACCGATTTAATTAAATTACAACGTGAGTCCTTTTACCTCTCCAATTCTCGCGACAGCTATCTAACTGTCCTTTTAAATTATATATGGAGTAAATATAAAAAAATATGATAATTCAAACACGAACTTTTGAGGCTTCGGTCTGCGTCACTTGGTACCGCTAGGATTGATGAACCTGCCAGATATCAACAGGTTGTTTTATACACCCGAAAGATCATCGAACGTTCGACACTTTTCTAAATACACTGCTTCCAATTATTCTCTTTCCAGCGTCGAACATTCCGCAGCCGATCCTCGTGTGCACTTTTTATGCAGCCTTGAGGAGGAATAACACACGACACAGCGAGTTAACGCCGATTATTTCGTATTCTTGAATGTCTCGACGTGCCGTGTGTTACCTCACCGTTATCTCGTCTTACGGTGATATTGGATTCGACGAACTACCCGACGTTAATTTTACAACGACGAATGCGTTCGTAGTCCAACAGCGTGCGATCTCGCACAACGTAGATATAGTTATACTTACATATAAACTTTATGCTTCTTATGTTTTCTCTCATTGTTAACAGGCCGTGGCTATACAGGGCCCTCTACGCTTTCAATTCAGTCTGTGACACGCGGTCTTCCGAGCAGATCATTAGGTACGATGTGTATATATGCATGCATACATGTATATGTCTGTGTGTGTGTGTGTGTGTGTGTGTGTTGTGCGTGTATGCGTGTGTGAGATATAATACGCAATCAAGATGTTATAATTTCATTGTCCTCGTCATTTTAACTGTTGCAAGATGTATGCTGAACGTCGCTAACATCCTCGTTGCGCCTTAGATGATCCTCTCGTCCTGGAATATTCCTGCTTCGGGTATGAATAGTGAAGAAATCTCCATGTCGAAGTGCCTCCAGTCGAACAAACACAATCCGATTTGCAATATCGTTAATGTTAATGCGCCATCTTATGATCGGACTAGTTTATCAAAAGCTTGCCTCGATGTTTCTTTAAGGATTTGTCCGACTCGACGGATCGCATTCGGCTTGGCTTCGTACACACATGTTTCTGTATACGCCTTCCTTCTTCACTTTTCTTTACTGTTTTTGTCGTCTTCATTACCCGTATAAATACACCAGTACAAGACATTGAAGCCAATGAACATGTATGGGAAGGCATAGCGAGCAATGTAGTCGATTCTCGCGCTGCCTCGGGCATTATCCGGATATCCACATAAAAGCAATTTCCGCAGCCAGTAGCTTATTCTCGACGATAGCGTTACCGACATGGGTATCGTGGACGAAGTCGGTATCGCGATCGGCGGCGAAGGTGTTGCGACGCGCAACGGCGTACCCAGGGGTGACGCTGAGGAGGCTGGCGAAGGCCAGCGCGATGGCGACGACCTTGTCGAGCTTCTACGCGAGTGATGTCGCTGTGCTTTCATCGGCGAACACCGGCCAGCGACGCAATCTTCGTCGTTCAGCAGCGAGAACGTTGGCGATGGCGAACGATTCGGATTATAACGCTGATGGCGATGTAACTGATGATGATGGTGGAGTTGCTGCTGATGATGGTCCTGCTGATACGTACGCGGCAGCGAATGATGTTGTGTCATCGACGGATTGCTGCCATGAATCTGCTGTATATAAAAATGACTGTGATGACGGGGAGGATCATGATGATGATGATTCTGAGGATGGTGATGATGATGATGACGATTATGAGGCTGATGATAGAGTTGTCGTTGACGAGGACGTGAACGTTGTTGCGGCGGTCGTGTCTGTTGGAACTGTTGTTGCTGAGGATGGCCGCGAGCCACTTCCCTTGTTGATCCGAGCGCCTTCCCCTCGAGATTTATTCTTGCCCCTCGTCCTCCCGAAACAGGTACGTGGACCAATACGTGAGGTTGAAGAAAGCGAATACGATTGGGAAGAAGATCCGTGAAATGACGTCGATGCGCTTGGACCTCGTCGGGAACTTGGACAGCCACGACCTGCAGCAGTTTTTTTTCCGTGGTTGCATATGTAATTCGCACTGCTGCAATTTATCCATCGACATGGAATCCTCCGGGTGTCGGACCAGAGGCTTCTGAAAGAATTCGGGTGGTATTGAACCATTAATTTCTCGTACTCTTGGCTCTTTAATTCAAACTATCTCGATTCTAATCGAAAGAATCTCGACCTCTTCTTTTTGCTGCATAAAAGAATCTCATTTTCATCTAGAAGAAGCATCTAGAAAAATCCTGATTTCTTCCTTTGATGCATACAAACTCAGATTTTTCAAGAATTGCATTTCTTTATAATAAATGGAAAAAAAATATAATGCTCCCGACTGAGGCAATATTTTTCGCAATAAATTTTTCGTAGATTTACAGTGTTCTCGTTAACGTCTACATTATTAATATTCTTATAAAGATGCTTATTAGCATCAAAAATTATTAAATTGCTTTATCAATTTAATAAGTGATATTACTACTCTGGTTCATGATTGCGTTTCAAGATCGAAAAAGATTTCAGCGTGCAGAGTCAAATATGTAAATTCACGCAGAAGTATTTAAGCACTATAAAATCCGCTTTGACCGAAATAGGATTTCTCTTGTTTAATTAGAGTTGCGTTCTATGATGTTGCCGCAACACGTTCACGTCCTCGTCAACCAAAACGAAAGTTTTTCCGGAAAAGCTCGAGGAGAAGAAAGCAGCTATGTCGGAAGTATCTTGAGCGCGTGCATGGAGATGCTCGAGGAACGTCATGCCTTGGTATACTAACCATAGCGAAGTTGGCGGATCCATCCGGCTCGAGCAATTCCGAAGTCGGATCAATCGACGACGAATGTTCCATCTCGTTCGTTGGAAACTGCTTCTTTATGTTGTCGCTGTGCATGTCGCTACGCGACGCGTAGTTGACCAGCGCGAATTCGAGTAGTGCACCGAACACGAAGGTCAAGCACACTCCTGTCCAAACGTCGATAGCCTTCGTGTAGGAGACCGGTGGCAGTGAGGCGTTTATCCCCGATGTCTGTGTGGCCATTGTCAGCAGTGTCGTAACGCCTGGACGGGAGAAGACCGATAGACTTTTGTAGATTTTTGTAATTAATCTTGTTAGAAGATTCAATAAACACGAGTCAAAAGTAAATTTAAAAAACGAGCTTCTATAAACGTATATTTTTCTTTCTTTACAAGATCATTAATCGTTACGCGGTCTTTAAATAATTCATTTCAATGTGTGCATTGCGACTCTTCGTATTTAACGTTAAGACTGATTTAAAAATAAATTCAATCATTCATATTCAACCGATATCTGCAATTCTATTCGCGTTCTTTTAATAGTTATATTGATTTTTCCTGTTTTTAGGTATAAATTTAAACACTTTGAAATGTTTATTTTAATTTCTGTCTCGCGGCGACTAATATACGTTTTGCTTCTTGTTATGATTATCTATGGCTGCGCTCAGCAGAAAAAGCTTTGCAACTATGTTGGAAGATTCTTTAATATGATTGGTTTATACATTTAGATCTAATGAAGAACTGAGAGCAAGAACAATCAAATTAAAGAATTTTATAACAGTTACAAAATTGTTTCTTCTGTTTCTTCCGTATCCTACGACATAGAAAGTTATCTTTGCAGTATTAACAAATTTATTGTGCTGCTACAACAAATACGATTATTTATAATTGCTAATTTTATTCAGCTATACAACTTTGCTAATTTTACATAGAAAAATCCGTATATATTACGACTGTAGATTTGCTAAATCGCTGAAGTTTTTAATTGCTACGATAAATCTTTTTTTCCCGTGAATTATAACTCTGAATTATAACGTCGCTCTGCGCCTAGACAATAATTTATACCTAGTGACACCCGGGCAGGCACAGCGCTCTGATCCAGCCAGAAAGACACCCAGGACACAATAACGAGCATACAGCATGGGATGTAGATTTGAATGAGATAGTAACTGAACTCTCTCTTGAAGAGCAGGTCCACTTTCAAGCAACTGTACTCTCCTGTGTGTTTTTTTTTTTTTATTTCATCGTTAGAATCGTTATATGAGTTCATCATGTTTTTCTTCTCAACGCAAGTCTCCACTTACCAGTGTTTGTCTTGCTATTACAGTAGTCCGTGAGGAATTTCTCAAGGGTGAACCTGGGTAGGTGTAAATTCTTAACCACTTGAACGGGGTCGCCTTCCTTCCAGAGAAAGACCAAATCGTTCGTCGTCCATCCGTCTATCGGGACGGACGAAGACGGTTATTATTTGACGAATGGTTAACTTTTCGAGAATGTTTAATGAAAAAATACTTATTGAGAGAATTAATCTATCTACGTAGGAAGAAAAACGAGAGAGTTTTTCGAGTCGAAATTACTTACAACTCGCCATACGAAGTGAGCAAGTTTGTCGATCCAGGGGATACAGTTTCAAATTCATGGGACACGAGAGCGTCAAGGATATCCTGCATCAAGGGAAGAAAAATAGCGATAGTTTACGTAATGTCTGTGGAAGTAAAAATCCAATTCGCAATGTAACGAACGCGCTTGTGTTTTGTCATCCGGCACAGTTCACAAGATATAATACTAGATCTCCGATTGTACAAGCGAATTTTGCGACATTTGATTATCACGAGGGTGAAATGCGAGTGTAATGAATAATAAATTCCCGTCTATCTATATTGAACGTCTATCTATATTTTAATTTGAATCATATATGTATAAGCACCGCCCTTAAACAAAGTTCGCGCAGCGAGGGGGAAAAAAAGAAAAGGTGACATCAATAATCTTTTGTAAAAAATTGCGCAATCTCGCTGATTAAGCTGACTCTGCATTCTCCGCACATCGGTTACATTTATAACACTGCGGTATACTCACCGTATGCTATAAAGAACCGAGCCATCCGGGAAAATTCGTATGTATACGTTCGGCATAATGATGTTGTGGAAGTGACCCTCCTTCTCGTTCGAAAAGAATAAATCTGGCATCCAGACGCGGCTAGCTTCCGTCAGGGTTAAATATTTAAGTTTACCTGCAACGTTCAACGAACAGTGGGTACATATCCCGGCGAAAAAATCGGCGTGCGTTAACGAATACGGTATCGCTCGTTAGCGTTCATTCAGTAAGCAGAAAGCGCGAATATCAGCGGCAATTTGCAAAAGGAAGATAAAAATAGCCGCTATTAAATTTGCGTAACGACCAGCGCGAGCGAATAAAATGTTACGACTCGCCCTTTGTAGCGCGATATAATTGCAGGATGAAAAAAGTGTACGTATATAAACGCTCTTTGTGCGTTTATATACGCGTCCGAACTTTTCCCGTTGACCGCAAAATATCGTGTCTGTGCAATATTACTGTACGAAGACACTTTGGCATTTATGGAAAATAAAGAAAGGATGAACTTTGATCGGACTTTTTGATTTTTTTCCATATTGCAGTTTATGCAGTTACGAGGAATATATTTCACCTTTAAAACTATTATTCTTGTGACATGGTACTGTACACGCATTGCTTGACTGTTATATCACTGTTGTTCCTATTTTATCGCATCGTGACTTTTATCAGCGTCGAAACATCAATACCGAAAGCGTGGAAAATTCAAACTGAAAATCAGTTATAAAATACTATTGTGAACTTTACGTACCTCCGAAGTCATTAAACCGTAATCTCTCATCCAACCATTGTTCCCGAAATGTTAATTGTACGGAGTATTCCTGGAGAGAAGAAGAATAAATGCGATTAAATAGCGTCGCGCGTTATGGCAGCGAGTAATGTAAAGAGTTATTCCTTTCTCTTCTCAGTAAGCGATAGTATTTTTAATTAGTTAGTATAAAGTTTCGTTAAGAAACGTAAAGAACGTGCGTAACGAAATAAAGAATAACTGAAGTCTAAATTCATTTTGAAACAAATAGTATTTATAATAGCAGAGTAGTCTTTGTGAAGAGAATGAAGAAAATAGCTTCGCGTAAATGATAACTCCGCACTTAATGAACAGTTTTAATTATAATTGCAATTGTATTTTTAATTCAATAATGATCAGTTCTCGAGAACGAGTTCCGGTATCCGTGATAACATTTCAATGCGACACGTAAAATCTAATAAAATATAAAAGAAAGTTGAATTAAAAAAGAAATGTAAAATCTTTTTCTTTCCACTTTATATATATATATATATATATATTATTCGATAAAAATCTCGCACCTATAAAAAGCAATTATTCAAACACCTCGTAACACAAAGAGAATTTCTTTTTATCTGTAATATTATCGCCACTCTGGACTGGTGTAACGACAAACTGGTTGTCAATATTCTTATTATAAAAAAAGTAATCGTCGATACACAGATATGGATTGTAATTTTATGTTAAGAGCTGTATATTTTCGAATAGGTCGAATATTTTGACATCGTTTTAGCGATTGGCACATAGTTGCATTTTTCATTAATTTTTCCTCCCCGAAAAAAAAGAACACTGAATCTGATATCACATCACACAAATTTTATTTCGCATCGCATAATAAATGATCCAATTTATAGCGAGATATAAAAATTAATGCATTTAAATAATGTTTGAAAAGGAGATTTTAATCACACAGAGTAGATTAAAACGAGGTCAGTAACATTCGTGTCCATTGATCCACATCTGCGACATTAATCTGCCTTGGCGTAATCGCGCATGTCGATAAGTTAACTCGTCACGGATCGAACTGATGCATTTAGGTGGAAGAACGTCATTTTATATCGAGTTGCACCTGAAGCGACGTACAACGCCCGTCAATCCGTGACGACTATCTATCACTTGGTAATGTGTGTGTCGAGAAATATATGGAACAGAAGACCGCGGAGATGTTATATATATCGTATATAGCGGTGGGAAAATCGTCCCGGGAAGACGAAATAATTTATCCTGGATCGGAACGCATCCGGGGACGTTTTTCCGCGGTAAAGCGATCATGCGACTCGAGGGCATTACAAGCATCGACAGGACATCAATAGCCGATCTGTCGTCAAATGCTCCGAATAACACTGGCGCAGCCAAGGAGATACGGGGCGGTCGGGGTCAAGGGCCATGCAAAAGCGAACACCGAGGACCTACCAGATGTAATCAGATCAAATGCCAGAAATGTCTCGGGCACTATTGCGCAATATCTGTTTAGCGGTATAAAAGAGAACGCATGCAGTTTCGCTCACGGTGCTCTCGTGTTCCTCTCAGCTGCTCTCGGCCGTTCCTGCGGCGGGCGTGCCAAAGTCCCGTGTGCTCTGTTTCCTATTTCAGAAGGGAGTAAAAGGGAGTGCTTTCGCAAATACATATTTCTTTTCCTCTCATTTCCAAATACTTCCTTCCTTCCTCCTTGCTTCCTTCGAGACCTACCGCGAGAGACCGCCGACTCTCTCGTCTCTATCCTCCACGCTCGGTGCAGTGCAGTGTTTCACTCTACGGTGTTTTTTAACGTGAAAAGAAAAAAAAAACACACATCCCGTTGGCCCTTCTCTTTTTTATTTAACTTCTTTTCCCTGTCGGCTTGCGGTATTAGTTTTCACTTGAAAGTGCGCCAGAGCTCACACTCGTGTGTGTTTCGCTCTACCTCCGCTTTTCTCTTAACTCGTCCGATGGTTTTGTTCCGTCGTTAACTTTTTCAGCGACTCGTATTCACACGCATCTAATATCGGCGGAAAGTTTCTGAAAAATTGTGAAACATGCCGCCAAACGAGGATTACCGGTCACCCTCTTTTCGAGCTTTCGTGTTCGTTCTATTTTTCTTTTTTCTCCTTTATTATGTTTTTTTTTTTTGCACAAAACGCGCGTCATTTTTCTCTTTTCTTTTTTCTAGTATAATACATCACTCGCAAAGAAATAAAATACGCTAAACACGTTTGCGTGGATGCCCGTTTGTACTTCAAAGTACTTATCTTTCCCGTGTAACACGAACGACGAGCTTTCCTTGGGACAGGTATCGTGCGCAATACTACCGCGATTACGACATGCACTCGCGATTTCCGCATCTCTCGAGATAAAAGCGATTGTCGCTTTTGTATCCGTACGAAAAATATCTTGTGAGCATAAACGACGTTATGGAGATTTGTCTATCGTGCGTCGGTGGAAGCTTTCGAACGGGAAATCGAGTTGTTCTTTCAAACATATGCATGTTGCGCAAAATATCTTATGACACCGACTGAAGAAATTGCCATTGGCGGGAGAGAGACTTTTTCACACTCGATTAAAGTGGAGGATAGAAAATTACTAGGAAATCATCGCAATGTTCTTGTAGTAACATCTTCGTGGAGATCTAAATCGCCCTTCTAAGCCAACTGTACGAATCATAAAAGTTGTATACGAAACGAAATAAATAAGTGCGATCATTAGAGAACTGATATACATATTCTTGCAACCCACTAAACATTTTTGAAAATAACATTACGTCATACACATATATATATATAAATATATGTATATCATACGTGGAATAATCGAATGTGTCGTATCATCGAGTGTACTTACGATGATGACGTATGAAATTATAAATATCAATAACACAGCGACAACACGTCGAGGGGGGGGGTTTCATACATAATCCTGACGTATAAGATATCTAGCACACAGTCAATATCTCAATTTTATGCTACACACAATGACAAATGCAAAGCATCCAAAAAATCATCAAAGTGTTCTATATATATATATATATATTTAAAAAAAGGGGGGGAAAGAGAAAAATGGGGAGGGTAACCGCAATGCAGCCCTCGATTTTACGTCGAACGATCCAAGCCGCAAGATAGAGACGGCCCTCCGATATTTCAGGCTACGTTTTTTTATACCGGAAGCTGTTGCGCGCCGTAACAGCTGGCTCGTAATTTTTCCCTGGCTCTTACCTTTAACGAACGACAGTCATCGCTACCTCTACCTTTCTTATACGGGCAAAATTCTCGAGTTACGCGCGCTAGGGCGATATATTTGCCGTTTAAGCCGGCCGCTCGACGAAACGAGTGCTCCTTTTTCTCGCGCGTCGTCCGTAATTAACGCGACACAACTCGATTAGCGCGAGGCGACAAAAGGCTAATTGGTCGAGTCGAGTCTCTCTCGATCCCCCTTGCGAAACGCGGGTAGTTTTTAGCGAGTAAGAAAGTGTATTGTATATCGTCGCTCTCTGTTGCTCCGGCAATTGTCCTGATGGCAATGGGATATAGTGGGATGTGTCGCGATAAATAACGGCTCGCGAACCCTCTATGGACCGTGTCATTATTGTTTTGTGACTTGTATCCCTTTTTCACGCGCTCGATATCTGAGGAGAGAACGGCGTAGGATTTATCAGTTGTTATACAAATTGATCTCTCTCACTTTTTTATATCGTTATAATAAATTTAATTGTCTAATTAACTCGATGATTATGAATGCGTCAAAAATAAATCGCGAAAAGAAGAGTACTGATACATAAAGAGAAATACATTATTGTTAGGTGAAAGATGGGACGTATATACGATATATGTATATCGTATATACATATACAATATTATATAAAGACATTATATATATATATAGGACCGGAAAGAAAATTCAATTAAAGTTAAAAGTTTTCACATCACGTCTTCGCACAAATTTGCTCTACTAATTTCCTTGATCACATCGGAGAAGCTTCCTTCGGGATTTTTAACTTCGATCAGAACTTCCAACTCGCCGTCGTCAGACATTGTTTTGAAGTTTTGTTTAAGTCACAGAGGGTTCCACGAGATTTCGGGGCCAATAGCTTGCCAATCAGCTTGCTCGGCGGTTCATCCGTTTTCCTCGCCGATGAGCAGCTTCACGTGTTAAATTTTGTTTCGCCTAAAGCGACGTCTGCGATGAAATTTTAAAGCGTAAAACTTGAGCTTTAAGTCCGAACCCGTAAGAAACTGATCAATCATAGACGATCGTTCGCTTCGTGTTTGACTGATGGATCAATTTTTATGGCTTAGGGCTTAAAGCTTAACATTTTAAAACATAAAACTTCAGATTTATGCCTTAATAACCATATAAGAAATTGAGAGACCAATCATAGTCGATTATTATTCTTCTTACACTTGACTAAAATTGGTCAATTTCTTATGGCTTAAGACCTAAGTTTTACTCCTTGAAATCTCATTGTGTAGGTGCCGCTTAATGCGATGCGCATACACACAATGCGCCTTCTTCGTGCGCTCTTTACGGAGAACGGGTTACGATCTTCCGTCTTGACGCGCTTGATCTCACCGTTACCGATATACATTCGCTCGCAATGAAAATTCTAACAGCCGCATTATTCCCACGCGAATTTTCCTCTCATCCCTCAGGGGATTTGTTTCTAAGCGCAGCGGTGTGCTCATTCAGTCGACAAATATTTGTCAAGATAAACGATGCCGAACGTGCCCGGTACTTATGAGAACGTGATACAGAATGAAAGAAATAAAGGAGAGACAGAGAAAAGAGACAGATATATGTAGAGAGAAAGAAAGAGAGAAAGAGAAGAAGCGAAAGAAGAAGACGACAGAAAGGACGGATTCTTGCAGGACCTAAAAGTGAACGATCGATCTTTTTCTTGCAATACCTTGGAGTGCGTGGCGATTCCGATGAATATGTATTTCTCCCGTGGTGATTTAATGATTACGAGCGCATCATGATGTCCGGAATAGCGAATAATAGGAAGGGGGATATATGTGAACAAATATCGTTTTGTTTTGTACTTCGTGTGATACTGGCGTGTGAAGCGTAACGAGTCTCTGATTCGTCGAAACGGAATGCCAATTATCTCGACGAGTTCCGCGCGACGGCTGGGGAGATAGAAAAATCAATGTTCGAATCGCGATGTCGAGAAGAATTCGGCTGGATGTCATGTACGATGGAGGTTCCCAGCCGAAATCGTGCCCGACGTGTACCAAAGCGAATCCACTGAAGAACGGCAGTGATTATACCTAAGTAATATCAGGAACTCTGTAAAGCCGTAATCACACTAGCGATCGCGCGATTGTGATTCACGATTGAGGATTATTTCTCAACCAATTGGAACGAAGCAATCGGTGACTGCTTTGCTCTGATTGGTTGAGAAATAATCGTCGATCACAATCGCGCAATCGCTAGTATGATTACGGCTTAATGCACTGCGAACCATGATGTGAGCTTTTATCGCTCGTATATATACATTACATTCGTGTGAAGTTTATCGCTCGTATTCATTTCTGCGCCCACATCGTGCGTGGGGCAATATAAAACCCCTCTCCGACAAAAGCCGAGTTACCATGTGGCTTTGAGTGAGTAACAAAGATCGCCCTTCAGTCTCGCGCGACTGAAGAGTATCGGTTGCCTGTACTCATCTTGACACAGAATTCCAAGAAATCGCGCTAAACCCACTCAAGGAGAATGAGAGAGCCAAAATAATGTCACCATTGACCGAATTGTGATAGAAAGACAAAACATAAACCCGGTGAAAAATCAGTCCGTTTGACTTTCTTCGGGCCACTTTTAATTAACATTATTGACGACCTCCATGGATTATTCGTTCGTTCGCATTTGCGATCGACGAGGCAGAGACACGCGTGCGTGTGCATGTGAATGTGCGTGTGCGTATATGTGCGTGTATATATCGAGCTTACTATCTCTCTCGTCTGTTCGGCGGGCAAACCTGAGGTGAGGCCCTGCGCAACGTGTCTCGGAACGCATTTTGAATTGGACTCGCGCGAACGCGTGCGAAGCGCTCGTCCTTCGCCACATCGTCGCGGCCAATCCTCTATAGCAAAGGTTCCAACAAGGCACAAGACGTGGTTGCAACACGTACAGTCAATCGAACGTTCTCGTACGATCAGTATTCAGGTGTGCTTTCCACACGGTGGACACGAGTGGACGCGAGTGTCGTTCCGTCTTGTTGCTCACTGAATAGTGTCGAGAAAGGTAGAATGACGCTCGCGTCGACTTGTGTGCCACCAAATAGAAGACAACCCCTATATACAGCAACAGACAAATTACTGATCGTACATCGCAGGCGCGACAGCTTCACCGTGCCTTGTCTCTCTCTCACACACACACCGCGCGGATTCCTCGGCCAATCCCAAGTCGATTTCTCCTTAGCGAAACGATCCTCTCGTTAATTTCAACGTCGAAGCGTTCGAATACATTTGAGTGTCGGTCGTGTTCAAACGACAGACCCATGGTTACCCATGGCGACATAGAATTCGCATTAAGATCTCGATTACGTCAACCGTTTCTCGCTCCTCCTCCTCCTCCTCCTCTTCACTTTCTTTCGAAGGGGAGACCGACTTATGAATTGCCAAAAACTCCATGCATCGGATCCCGGGCACGATAAAGCCGGGACGCCCTGTATAATATGTATGTATACAGACTTAAACATGACAGTCAATGACATCGAGAAAAATCAACGAAGTGCGATTAGCACACATCCATTGTCAGCGCGACGAACGAGAGTATGCATATACATGTATGTATCGTGTGCAGGAGATGTCACGCGCGCGGGACGAGACTGATAATATATATATGCATATATACGTATACATATACACAGAGATACAAGTACAGAGAAGTGCAAGTCTTACGGCATCATATACACGTGACGTTTCAATATAATTATACACAATATGTGAGGATATACAGACTGTAGGCCTCGTTGATGATTACTTGTTTATTGCACTCACCATATTATAATCATCTATTTTGCTGATAGAGCGGAGAAAGATGTTGACCTTCACATTTGTCGGACCATCTAACACGTCGACCGGAACAGAACAAAAGAAATCGATTAATTACATCGGTCGCCGTGAACCGAGGATCGCTGGCTTTGTATTTTCTTTTCTTACTTTTCTCTTTTTCTTTTCTTTTCTTTTCTTTTTTTTTTTTTGTTGCTTTGTGGTTAATTCGCTTTCGCTTTCATTTTAATTTACCGGGATAATATACTTAGCGGTGTGGGCGGATCATTAATGAATGAGGGACCACAGGAGAGGGAGAGGGAAAGAGGGTGCGGGAATGATAAGAGCGTCGTGATAAGATGATTCTGAGACTCATCGATTCTCTCGAACGCACATGTCGCACGCGTCAATGGATCGAACGTCAATAAATAATGGATTAATCGCGAACGTCGCTTCCGCCGATCGTACGATACGCATCCGAGCGAATGGACGGAGCATTATCACCATGCACTTCTGTGCCCCGCGATAAAATCACGACAGACCGCACGGTATATATATTCGGTGTGTTTTCGAAAAAGTGTTACGACTAAATAAAAACTCCCCGATGAAGTGCCATTCTCCCGCATAACACATATTCGTTCTCTGACGATTAATTTTTACGGATGACACTTGAAAATATATCGCTTTGTTTCATTTTATTTTAATCAGTTTGAAACACTCCTCCCCGAGAGGACAGGACACCCTCCATTATCTTGCCGCGAGGCACAGGTCGCATATCTCGTTACGCGATCCAATATGTGTTTGTATAAAAAAGCGTAAGAGAGTTTGGAGATGAGCTTGGATATATGGCAGATATCGTGAGATCGATATATAAAATTTAAATAAACACGCTACGCGCTACGACATTTAAATGGCATGGGGTGATGCGATGGGGCGAACTATATTGCAGCGATTTAGCGAGCGAGTTAGCTTCTCCTTGTCCCACAGCTCAATTAACGCTTCACGCGAATGACTGGCGGATCGTGCGAAAGCTACGGATCTACTCGAGCAGCGAGTCGAGGAAAAAAAATGAAAGAAAAAACAACTTGTCTTGTAAGCTAATGTGGAGTAAGATCGATTTGGACTTGCGGATGAAAGTATCCGTCGCTGTGAGATCTCTTATAGGAGCGAAAACGGAGTAATATCCAGCGCCGTGAAAGCGACGATTATTGATCCGTGTGCTTCGCCAAGTGTAAACAATCCCATAAGATATAATACAGGTAAGGAGGAATAAAGTCGATGTGCATATGTGTTCGGTGTGCCTGGGCGTAGCGCACCGAATGCAGAATGCCTCAGCTGTCGCTTTGCGTGTAATCCGGTATACGACGAGCGATACAGACACCGTTGAATTTAAAAAGAAACCGAATAACAGTCGCAAACGTTTCACTCGAGATATTCGGGGAAATGCGTGAACGAAGCGAGGTAATAAACCCGTGAGAAAAAGTAAGAACACAACAGTCATGAAAATAGATGCGTTTGATGTCGGAAAATTAACGTTATCGATCGAAAGATTACACGGGAAATAAGTATTCTGGATGGTCAAATCCTATAGATTCTAGTATCCTTAACTTATTTCGGTCGTTTTAACTTAGATACAAAGTATTTTGAGAATGAATTGAGTCGAAAAAAGAAAATGTTTCGATAAAAATTGTAGGATTCGAAGAGGATTGGCCCACTTAGACTCAACAAGACCCAAAATCTAAATATCTCATCCGATGATCCCTTTCAAACCCTACAGCTTTTATTTGAAACATTCTATTCAAAAATGCATTGTTCTCAAAATACTTTGTGTCTGAAGTTAAAATGGGTCGAAGATGTTTCGATCCAAAGTACAGAATCCGTAGGATCCCAACGTTTTACTATCTAGAATACTTATTTCAAACGCGACCTTTGGATAATGTTAGTTTTTTTAATGTCACTTTTTAATATCACAGTGTAATATCACGTTGCCTCGTGAGGCACGCAAGGCGACGTTCTCTCTGAGGAAGATTCTACATTCGGATCTACTACGCGGACATCCGAAATACTGGAAAAAGAAATGCGTTCTACTGTGGGCTTTCGGAGTGAATCGGAGTTAAGCCGTAATCACACTAGCGATTGCACGATTGTGATTCACGATTGAGGATTATTTCTCAACCAATCGGAACGAAGCAATCGGTGACCGCTTTGCTCTGATTGGTTGAAAAGTAATCCTTAATCGTCGATCACAATCGCTCAATCGCTAGTGTGATTACGGCTTTAATCGTGGTCCCATTATACGCCTTCGACGGCCGGTTGTCCCCGCCCTCCGTAATGGGCCCGACCAGGTGTCTCCTGAGGTCGACCTTTGACACACACGGAAGGGGCCTGATTGTCGCGACTTCGCATCTTTCGCTTCTCTCGTGGACGCTGCTCTCGGACACGCGAGGCACACCTTCGCCGTCGTCCTCGTCTTCGGAGCGGTGGGTGTTGCGCGGCATGGGGATTAGAAACACCTAGGAGAGGATCCTAGAATCCCATTGCCATGTTCGTGTTTGTCTATATCGTTTTCGCGACGAGATAATCAGCGTTTGGCGCTAAGATGCGCGGCGGATCATAATTTTATATCAGATCTTATATACTTTCAAGATGCAGAAATCTCGCGCGCGGTTTTCTATACACCCGATGCCGCTTCATCCAGAATCAAGAGATCTCTCGATCGCGTATAATCCTGACGTCTTTCGTGACTGTCAATGGAACATCTTTCTTGTGCTAAATAGCGGGAAAAAGTATCAATAATGTAATGGTAATTCGCGGTAATATTTCATCGGCTCGAAGAGAATGTGATTTAATCGATGCCACGAAGAAATACATATATATAGTAGACCCGAGAAAATATTAACAGGGCTCTTCTGCATCGCATATAAACATGTAAAATATAGATTATATTTTCATACTGTAGTTATCGAGTTTATGTTGAAAAAATTTATATACCATGCCTTGTGCCTCTTAATTTTTCAAATACCGAATAATTTAACTCTTGGCTGTTTGTATGAAAAATATTCGATATTTTCGACGAAAAGCTGCACATTATATTTTATCGCTTTTGTTTACAAATTACAAAACGAGTTAATGGTTCAATGCAACGGATAATATCCATCAATAAGATAGAGAAGAAGTTCGATAATTGAAAAGTCAGGGTAAAAATATATAAAGTGAGGGAGCGAGTCTAACGTAGGTGGAGTCGCTTAGCGTGTGACGACGGTGTGTAGGAAAAGGTGGACGTACCTATTATGAAAGAAAGAACGTATCGATTTAACGGAATGTCCATTAAATCTTTGACAAGCCCTGAAATACAATTCTTTTCGCTCCGCGGACGTTTGCTAAATGCTGATTGTTGAAGCAGCATCTGGTTTTAACGAACTGTTGAAAAGTCACAGACCGTCGATCTCGCGTTCATTAACGTTTATTTCAGAAAAGCATGACAATCTCAGAGAACTCGTATTCACTCGTATTGAAGCAAAATTCTCACAATGACAACATAAGCTCACGCGTCCGCAGGATCAAGGCATGGTATATATATATATATATATATATATGTATATATTTGTCATTGTCGTAGAGAAAGTAGAAACAAGTCAAGCAAACGAGAAACTGTCATATTTTGAAGTGTGACAGTAAATTTCCTATTTCCCGAAATGCCGCCGGGACCAAAATCACCCGGTGCTTTATTAAGCACCGGGCAAATTAGGAAATGTTTTGTGTCGCTAATCGGCGCATTGCAGTTGCATTAAACTCTCGTAATCTAATAAGCGAGCCTCGGATATTGCCGCTCCAGTGAGGTTCACTGGACACAATCGTGCAACAATTATGGATTACTGGAGAACGATCGTTTTATGTATTTCGAGCGCGATAGAGAGCCATCTTCCCTACTTTTTCCCCAGATTAGTGACACACGCGAACTATAGAGATATTTTATATTTCTTTCCTATACAGATACACATTCTGAAACATAAATTGCAGTTTACAGCACAGAGAAATTAACATAAAGAGGAAGAGATGCAACACGCATTTTGAAGTCATATTAAAGGATTAAGTTAATCTTCCTCTGCTGGCGCTTGTAAACAATTAAATGCAGTCAAACTGGATGTAACAGGCTTTCGAAAATAATTCTACCTCGCTCGCGATGACAATATCGCAAAATTCTATATCTCCTTGTAGTACAGACAGAGATAAAAGCCAATTAGAGCCAGTATGCAAAAGTATTTACGACAATTATTGAAGTAACAAAATATCGTAAAAGTTGGTCCCTATGATTATTTCTACTTCAACAATTGTCATAGACATTTATGCTTACATTTGCTTTCTATTTTATTCATATACATATGTATATGTAAAAAATAGCCCTTCTCCTATTCTTCGAAGAGTCACTATTTTATTCGTCAATCAAGTTTTCTCTTCCTCTCTCTCTATCTCTTTCTTTCTCGTATCTTCTTTATCGTGTCATCTAATATCTATTCCGCGTTATAAGTGGTACGGATATCGGCGCCAATGAAGTGAGCTTCAAGAGCGGCAACATCCGAGTACCACTAATAAAGAGACGGCCATATGATGCTTAACCACGAAGATATGGATCCAAGATCCATCGCGATTAACCCAACACCACTTTAAAGAAGAAAAAGCACGCGTATAGTATATATCGATAGCGTCAGTTCACATAAATATACTTCAAAGCTGCTAATTTTAAACTCCTACAGAATATATATTATTATTGTCCAGCATTATTATTATATCATAATTGAATTCTTATATAATACTTTATCATCGTATACCCGTGTAAGTTTCCAATAATAAATGTTTATTATTATTACACGGCGCGCGTATACTTAAAAAAATAGAACTATAGTGCAGCTGCCTTCCTCAGTGTGATCCATGTGCAGGTATATCTGCTAATAAATGCTTGCTGCTAAATAAATTATGGCGGACACACATATATTCGACATACATTTAACATACACACACACACACACGCATACAATCCTTGACGTGGCCGATAAATTTTTAAATGTCATCATCTTTTCTCGCACTTAACGCGTGAATATTTAAACGGCGGTCTGCAAACGGCGGTGGGTTAATCACGGAGATCGATCGGTAAACGAATGCGGCTCAAAGTGGGACTCGCTTCGATGAAAACGCGCGTTGAAAATTGGAGCTCTATAACGAGAACCTCGCCGAACGACAAAGTCGCCTTTCGCGTCGTCGCCAGCTCCGTGTATAATTAATTGGTACCAGGCCTGTCTAATTACGCCGCCGCTGCCTCCGCGCGACGTCGTCGTCGTTGTCGCAATTGGCAATTCGCGGTTAATCCCCAACTTCTGTCGCGACAGCACAATGTCTCGCAGAGCCGCCGCTGTTCTCGCCGAAGGACGTCGCGTCGCGTCGTGTTGTTCGCGGTAACCCCCCGGGCTATTTTCCGCTAAATGAGCGTATTTGCCAAACGTGCGTCGTGTTCCTCATTGTTCTAAAAGTATACCGACCAGAGAGCGCGTCGCTCGCTTTATCTCGCTAATAAAGAGACGCGGCCATATGATGCTTCGCGTGCCGAAGGAAAACATTCGACGTAAAAATATCTTCGCAAAGAGTTAATCGGGACGAAAATCCATTACGTTTAATCGCGGGATGTATTTGCAATTATAATTCTGGATTATTTATTTAAGTCTCGCGTTTGTGCTCACGATGGAAGATATTACGACGTTTCTGCCCTACTCTCTCCCTTGATAAATAGTAGACGAGAGAGCCTGCACCCTAGATATACGTATACTCGGCGCACGAAAACGGAGAGAAATGAAGCGTGTTCTGAATGTAAATCTCTCGGCCCGCGCGCAATGCGGCCGTTGAAAAATTTAACCCAGCAATTAAATTGCATTGGCCGTTGATACGCACCGGTGATTACACTGCGACGTGACTTGCGCCTTCGAGTCATTTCCGCAACGATTACAAGAGGTTTCGTTTACCGAGATCGTTTCCTCGGATATGGAGCACGTAAGTGTTTCATTTTCATATATATATAACGGTTTAACTGGTATGCGGGCGTATATACAGGTACGATTACTGTTTTCTGGTATAGCAATTAGGAAAAAAGTCATTACCAAGAATGAGATAAAAAGGGTTGCATACTACCGCAGAGAATGCCTTAGCAGCACGAGAATGCCTTAGCGAGTGTGTTGTCGTACGGTGCAGTAAAGAATTAAAGAATAAGTCAACGATACATTTGGTAATATATGTACATATGTGTAGGCAGATGTTCTATTATATATATATGGATATACATAGTGTTACATTGCGCATATGTATGTACGTATTATATCTAATAAATAAAATAGTCGATGTGTCGTAATATTGCAAAAA